TTCTTCAATTTTCCTCAAGGCGGAAGTGCTGCAGTGAGTCCTGGCTCTCTTGAACAATGTACGTATGCAGCTAATTTTGTGTGATGTTGGGTTGTTACTGTTGTAATTGAGTATTTGATCCGTGTGCAACCAAACCATCCAGCTTAGAGAACACAACCACACCAAAATCATCCACCTGAGCTACAAATCTTCTCTATTATATCTAAATCATACGAGCGGAACACGCTTCATTCTGTTCGAAAGTGGGAAGACTTCGCCAAACGGCAAGGATCCACCAGAGAACAACTATTTTTTCTCCATGAGTGCCTTCGTCATCAAATTCTACCAACCAGCGTGAGATATAAGCCACCAATCAACTACCCAATGAGATGGAAATTAGCTGAACAATGTGGAAGAAAAATGGTTAAACTAATGATTACAGATGCACATTATAGAATCAAGAAATATCAACAAATAATGGACTTTGAAAAAGAGAAACTAGAGAAAATCCTCAGCCAAGAATACCTTTCAACAATGATCACCGCAATCGCACTGACAAATAGTAGACACAGAGAACGTAGACGAAAAGTTCTCAGAACCAAGCTAACCAAAATCAAAAAACAACAGCCGAACAATACACCAATTGATTGCGTAGTCAATTTATCAAAACAGCCGCTGTCAAAAATGGAACAACAACTACTTCAAAAAGGATTAAACTACAACACTGAAGACGCCTCGAAAACAGACTTCTTCGCTGCTCTTGAATCAACACTCAAATCATCAAAATTAAGTGAAGAAACACAAGAAGAGATACGTCAAACAATAGTGCCTATAGTTAAACAAAGAAAACGACACACACAACTCAACTCACAAGAACAAAAAGCCCTCAAAAGACTGAAAAACAGGAAAGATATTGTTATAGTACCAGCTGACAAAGGAAGGACTACAGTAATCATGGACAAAGAAGAATACACTGCAAAAGCGGAAGAACTACTCAAAGATCAAACAATTTACCAACAACTAACAACAAACCCCATCGAAACACTAAACAACCACATCCAAAGAACCCTAAGCAAACTCACCAAAACAGGTCAGATCACAAAAGAAGATCAATGGCGAATGAAATCCAATGGACCCGTCATACCTCGATTCTACGGCAGACCAAAAATACACAAGCCAAATATACCTCTACGACCAATCGTATCACTCCCAGGAACCCCAACATACAATTTATCCAAAGAACTATACAGAAGACTGAAACACTTGACGAAATCATGTGATCACTCCATCCAATCTGCGACCCAATTTTTAGAGAAAATCAAAGGCATTGAAATAGACAGCCAAGAAATAATGGTATCCTTCGACGTCACGGCATTATATACTTCGATTGGACTAAAACTAGCAAAAGAAACCATGGAACAACTACTCAACAACGACGAACACATACAACAATCAAAAATGCAGCATTCAAGTTGGATGGAATGCATAAACTTGTGTCTCACAACTTATTTCCAATTCAACGGCCAAATGTATGAACAAATTCAAGGGACACCTATGGGATCACTCACATCAGGATTGATTGCGGAAGCCGTCATGCAAAGACTGGAAAACATAATTCTGCCAAAGATCAAACCGAAAATTTGGATACGCTACATACATGATACATTCGTGATAATCAAAAGAGAAAACTTAGACAATACCCACAACATAATAAACAACACCTTCAACGACATCAAATTCACAAGAGAAGAAGAATATGAAAACAAAATCCCATTTTTAGACGTCTTAATCAAACGAACAACTACAGGAAAATTAGAAACCCAAGTATACAGAAAACCAACGCACACGGATCAAATACTCAATTACAACAGTAACAACCCAACATCACACAAAATTAGCTGCATACGTACATTGTTCAAGAGAGCCAGGACTCACTGCAGCACTTCCGCCTTGAGGAAAATTGAAGAAAATCATCTTATGGACGTCTTCCAAAGAAATGGATACCCACGAAACTTCATCAAAAGACATCTACCCCCATCTCAACCAACCAAATCAAAGGCCACCAGCGAAAACACAAAGAAAGTCGTCCTACCATATATAAAAGATATCTCCGAAATCACTGCAAGACTATTCAAACCTTTTGGAATCGATGTCGCTCATAAACCAACAAAGTCACTACACTCAGTTCTATGTAAACCAAAGGACTCAACGGCAAAAGAAGACAAAACTAACGTCATCTACAAGATAAGTTGCAACGACTGCGACAAACATTACATTGGTCAAAGTGGACGCCCTCTTCGTCTTCGCATTCACGAACACAAACTAGCTGTCAAAAGACACGACATACACTCCCTCATATCACTACATGCAGACAACCACGGGCACCAATTCGACTGGGACAATGTTCAAATCTTAGACAAAGGGAACTGCAAAAATGCCAGAGAATTCCTAGAGGCCTGGTATTCAAATGAATCAGCAATCAATAGACACATAGAGATTGACAAAATATACCAATCCATACGAAGAAATTCACACAAAAACAAAGTCAAACTTCAGGTCAAGGATACAATCAACACCAAAACAAGTGAACTAGAAAGTGAGAAGTCACACAAAAACAACCAGTCACGTTCAAGGTTAGCAGAAGGAATGACTAACGACATTCAGACCAAAGAAGCAGCCAGCACCGAGACAAGCAAACTAGGGGGTGAAATGTCACACGAAAACAACCAATCACGTTCAAGGTTACTAGAAGAGATGACTAATAAACTCATAGAGAATTCTAAAAACTCACTTCACATCGAAGTATGCGCTGAAGATGTTGCTCAGTAGAGCAATGAAAGCTTCGCAACCAAACCATCCAGCTCAGAGAACACAACCACACCAAAATAACTGGATTCAACTCCTTATTTTTGGTCAATTGTCAAACTGTATTAAAATACTAATCGTATAGCTCAGGTCAGACACCAGCTCCAAATAAGAAATATGCAGCAATACATCATCCTTCTTTTATGGCTAGCTCAGGAATGCCATTAGTCCTTAGGTAATTGAGAAGCAAAAAAGGATGAAGACTCCATCTCTTTTTCCAAAGAAATATGCAGACATTGTAAAAAAATGTTTTAAACCCCAGACTTTTCGGGAAGTCAAAGCAAAAATTTTCGAATACAAGATCTTAACAATGCATAAAAGTAAAACTTTTTCGCAATCACACAAAGATCACAACTTTATTCTCAAGTTTAAACTTAGTCCCTACTAAAGCTTTACATAACAGTCTTCGAAACATTAACTTCTGAGGAGGAACTCATGAGAAACTGTTATCTAGTAGATGAATGACTTACGAAGTTGGGATCCTCTTTATTTAGCATGCATAAGCCCATAATTTGCTACTTTTCCACTAAGTGTAAACTGCAGTCACAATTTTGCCAACATATACAACATGAAAAATACGTTTAACAATGATTATAATAATAATGACTTCATTCATAACAGTACTTTGATACAGTTAGAAATTCTCAGCATGAAGCACAATGCTGCATCTAATTTTCTCCTTACGCGTTACCGTAAGAGGTCAAATAATTGGCAGCAACATTTGCATTCATAATAATTTCAATAAAAACATAAGTGTTAAGCTGAAACTATTCGCTTCGGCGATACATATACTAAGAATTGAAACGATACAGAGAAGATTAGCATGGCCCTTGCGCATGGGTGACAAGCAAAATCGTGAAGCGTTCCTTCTTTTTTATGTAACTTATGTCAGACCTCATTTAGAATACAAACGGTGAGTACATGCTTTAAAAAGGAGGCACATATCCTGGAAACAGTATAGAAGGTAGGAACCAAATTAGTCAGTGGTATCTCACACCTTCCTTATGATATGACTATGGAGTACTTAAATCTCTCCCCATTATCATAACGAAGGAAGAGGCGATTCAATTTTGGCATACCATATATTAAAGGGTGATGTAGGGATTGACTTTTCAAACCTTTTCTCTCCTTCTAGGATACATTTACGAGGTCACCACAAGGTGTTCAAACCGAGGTCCAACAAAATACGACTGGGATTTAGATTCTCTCACAGAGTCGCTAACGACTGGAACTCCTTACCTGATTCAGTAGTAACAGCTCCATCGGTGAATGCTTTCAAAGAGGAACTAGATCTCTGCACAGATATATATCACAAGGATTAATATAGGCAACATGAGCTTTTTATCCTTATAATCTGAATCTACAATTTTACAGGGATAATGACAACCGTATATTAATGATAGGAAGAACAAAAACGGCCGTTTATTTACTGTTTTCTCAGTTATTATTTCCATACCTAACGCTTCAACACAGGAAATACGTGCGAAATAAGGCATTTTCGAGGTTTTTAATCTTTTCGTGTGATCATTAAGTCTTTCTTGGTTACTTTCCGTCTTACATGGGGTGATGAAAGGAGAGTTGATTATACAGAGGGTGCTGAGGTCATGATAAGCTGACTCTTATCAATTTCTTGTGAGCGTTCGACTGTGTCAGTGAAAATATCATCAAGCTATTTAAGGGGCGCTACACGCCCTAACGGTAGCAATCAAGTTCCTCTGTAACTTAACAATCCATTTTTTGTAGTCCATGAGAGACGAAAAATGATAAATAAAGGAGAATTGGCAAATTCTAAGTTTCAATAAATTGTAAAAGTCGCAGCCGAGGGATACCATATTGTCCTAACTTTCCTATTCAGAGGCTTACAGGGATTTTTTTAGAAATCTAGGACTTGCGGGAAAAATCAAGGGGAAGACTACATTAGTATTATAATCATCTACACACGATTCTCACTAGTCTTTAATTTAACCAAAAGTTGAAGGAGCCGATACAGCAGGCGTTTATATGAGGAAAGCCGGATTCAAAATAACGAAGAATTATTCTTCGGTGGCTGAAAACGTCTCGTACTATTTGATACCGTGCATCTACTATTTATCAGCACAATGGACTTCGTCATGACGAAGCATGCAAGTTTCATGCACAGAAAGAAAGAAACTCACCTTATATATCCTGTCAATGAATTCGCACGCAGTCTTGGCTTTCTCGAAGCATACACAGAAAGGTATTAGAAATACTTCAACCACGGCCAAAATAAATGCCATGGGCCAAGCGAGAAACCATATCAGTAACCACACGACTGACCAACATAATCCTGGACACCAACTGGTTTTGTTCTAGATTATTATGGTCAAACGGAATAGACACACTCACAGACGTCATCTTCATATTGTAGAGTGACAACGACCTTGACTGTGTATTCTGATTTCAAAAATGCAAACTGATTGACAATAGCAATAAACAATGGTCACTACTCATAAGTACAAATAACCCATAGAAGCTGTATAGTTTCAGGAACCTCATAAGGTCCATTTGCGACAATAATACTGGGGAAATAAAATGGTTGACTAATCAGTATCCATGGTGCAGTTGAGTTTCCATAGTGTCGAAAGGTGATTTTTCAGTTTTCGTTGAAAGTTAAAAATGACACTCCCCATCAAAACACTGTATATATCCCTGATTTTTATCAATATTTTCTCAGATTCTCTGTACAGAGTTTCGGAATTACAATTATCACACCGGAGGTAAGGTATACGAGTGTTAGATCACACGCTGTTTTCTCATTATGGTCGTCATCGCAAGTATTGGTTGCATCGGTTAGAACCCACAGTAAACTAACATCCTCTTCGAAAGAAGATTCAACAACAAACCCTTAGTGAGAGAGCATTATTAAAAGATTATGTGTGAATCTTTGCAGAGTTTCTCCTAGTGAACTAACACCTCAATAAAGGGAGTATGGCCAATGTTGGCAGAAATTAAACGCCATGTACAAGGTCATTGATGGAGTGAGACGCTCCAAGGTCATTTTCGTCCATGTTAGTCGGCCATGTTGGATTGCAGTTCCGTTGCTGTTCGTTTACACATCGATTTTTCCGTTTATCCAGCAGTTATTCACAACTTATCTTGATGCACATTGTTCACAAATATTGCGTTTCACTTCATTATTGTTTCCATTTCTGTTGAAATTAGTTATTTCGTTTGTTTCGAAAGTTTTTGCCACCAGGTCAGTGCATTCGTTTCATTGTAATTGTTTCATACGTTGCATTCATGCATGGTTTTAGTGTTTTAATTGTTTTTCAGCTATTAATGAATTAGTACTGTGTGGAAATCTTGGAGATTATACACGTGAACATGTTTGGGAAGCAGAAGCCATTGTTTCCAGTTCACTTTTGGTTGCCGTTATTGCTGCTGGCTCAGTTGGTTACCTAATATGTAGGAATCTGGAAAAAATTTCTCTCACGTTCATGTTTACAGCATGCAACAATCTGCGAATGAATGCGGTGAAGAGAGCACCATCAGGATTGATATTAGCAAAGTTTTCGAAGAACTAATTAAACCCAGAGAATTTAGAACCTGGTTTGAAGTTTAAAAAGCTTTGGAGCTTTTCGACAAGGTGTCTGTTGTCAGCTAAAACATCAGGTATATTGTGAGAGAATCAAGCAAGGGTGAGCCACATGTGAAGTATGAATGTGTGGTGTTTGTATGTACTTTTGGAAGCAATAGGAAATCCCTAAATGATTGTTAATGCCTAGTGTACTAGATCCCAACGCACGAACCAGGACTGTCTGTAGTGAACGCGGTGTTAATAACCATTTTATTTGTTTCAAAACGATTTGAAAAGCGGATAACATACGATGATCTGGTGAGTGATCGGTAAGAATTAAATAGCAAGAATAACGTTTCGGGTTTTGGTCTACAATCGGTGGTTATTTCGAAGTTACAACAAGTTGAGAAGCTGATTATTATTCAGGGTGAAAAAATTGGCTGGTTACAAATTGCTTGTTTCAGTTCAAATAATGAAATTCCTATTTTTCGGATGCTTGTGATTTCTCCGTGGTTATAAACACGGTTGCCCATGATTTATAAGAAAACTTCAAATAAATTTTCTTTGAACCAGTGGTCTTCTTTTTCTTGGCGAAGCATCTATTTAGACGATTAGGTAGCAAAGAATGTTCTGTGATTGAGAATCGTAGTCGTTGAGTTTCGGATTTATATCGTGCATCTAATTGCTATAACCCTATGAATAAAGCTTTTTCCTCATGGTGCATTATGATATCTGGAAACCATAAGCACACTGCCTTCGATAAATTTATTTTTACTTTTTAAATGACAGCAAATAGTGAGTCATTTGAGGCGATAGGATAAATACCACTAAACGCTTTCGTGAAGAGATTAGGATATGTTTATTTTCTCGACTAGGAGACGATCTTTTTACCCAGAAAGCTCTCAGGGTGTCCGGTTTTAATTTGTTATTCAAAGATAACGTTGAGTTGCTCACTTAGGTAGTAACAAGGGGGTAGCTTTAGGTAATGCGTCATAGAAGTAAGCAGTGTATGTCTATTGTGTCTAAATATATTAAACGTTGTAAAGCCGGTCAAATCGTAGTTCTCAAATATGAGTTAGTTTTTTAAATAATGAGTGTACCGTGCTAGCGTTTGTGCTCGAAACGTCATCAGTTAATATAACTGTACAACACTGTCTGATTTATCAAAATAAAATCTTATCCATAATGGAGTTATACTCTACCACAGTGCCCAAGTTTTATACTTATATCAGCGTTTACCTTGGTTTGCATACCTAGCTCATGCATGCGTGTGATATACATTTAAGGCTAATACGCTGTTTGATGAATTAGTCCGAGATACTTAAAGTCAGACTTGAGCTCTATATCACTGTCATCAATTTTGCAACGGTCATAGGAATTAACAGCTTCACCTGACTTTCTCTTACATCGGAAACTGAAATTGACAGTCTGACATTTGGAAGGATTTAGTTTAAAAGCATTTTCTGACTACTAATAGAGAGCTGTTCATCTTAGTACAGTGTAGATGCGAATTAAAAGACACTGGAATAGTTAGTCCGCGCACTTGACATATTTCATTTCGTATGCATATGTACATTAAGTTCGTCAAACAAAAATACAATTAGTAGTGGACGACTATAATGGATAAAATGCTGTGATGCAAGACTGCAGCTGCATCTAAAGTACTTCTACTGTGTTTATAGGCGAATTATTTGAGATCGTTATAGGCTTTAAGTGAAGGTTGAAGATTAAGTAAGAGTAACTTTTCCATAGGTTTTAGAAAAGGGGAGGTAATAGCAATAGGTCTAAATTTAAAGCATGTTCCATTAGACGACTTAGGTATGGGTACAATTTTAAAGTCCTTCCAAACGGCTGGCACAACATTTCTGGAAAAAGATTCATTAAATATGTGAGAGCATATCTGTACATTTTTTAAGAATAAGGCTAGGCAAACAATCTGGAACTACAAGAAGGGTTCAACGACTGGTGATATTTTAGAACGTCATTTAATAATAATAATGATTTACTTTATTCCAAAAACAGTACTTGTGATACAGAATGGAATTTTCAGCATTAATCACAATATTGCATCTAATTTCCTCAAATTATAAATAAAATTAATCACATAGAAAATTTTTCTACATTTACAATAGGGTTGATATAAAAAAAATAAAAAACATGCAGCATATAAAATGGAAATAATAATAATGATAGCAGCTAAGGTAATGATAATAATACAAGTGGAAATTGCCGTGGGCTTGTTTCACACAGTATTGTCGATGCGGTATACAAATCCTTGCATGATTAAAAATATTGAATATGATGTTCTCTTTACATGATATGGTGAGGGGAAAAACAAAGATTACAGCAGTCATAGAGATAAGTTGGTGTTTGCAGTTATGAAAGTGAAAACAAAGAATCAACAGGACCATAAATATAATAGAAATAATAAAAGTAAAACTTGAAGGTATATAAAGATGGATGGAGGAGATTGTTTACTTTGAAATAATAGAGAAGATTTGTAGCTCAGGTGGATGATTTGCAATTAAAAGTGTTCTCTGAAGAAGAAGAAATTTAAATCATTTCACTCTGTGCTAAATATGGCGCTGAAGATGTTGTCCGGAAGGACGACGAAAGCTTCGCGACTAAACCAACCAGCTCAGAGAACACTTTTAATTGCAGATTGTCTATTTACTAGATGAAAAAAGGTTTGTATTGAAACCAAGGAAGCAACTCTCATTAACACTTGTGACACCAGAAACCTTGGTATTTGTGGGAGAATGTATGAATGCCTTGTTAACCGTACACACATCAAATGAATGGGATATACTGTTGTAATACTGGAGGTAATCAGATGCATAAATGCGTAAGTTATTTAATATTCATAAAGTAGATATGCAAACACCGCAGTTGTTGATTATAGAAATGATGGATATTAGATAACATCACATGATTCAACGGCATATTAGAAGTAGATGAAAATTGTTTCTTTGCTCACTGTCAAGTGAACAGTCTATTTGACGATGTCACTGCATATTAACAGATTAGTGAAGTAGCTGTCAAGCCTAAGTCATTAAATTTACTTGTACTTCATACTTGGCGTTTAACAGTGTACAGAATTGCAACTGGCTAGATAAGGCGATTTTAGCGTATCGAACAGTACAGAATTATTATTTAAATTGCTAAATCTTACTTAGTTTTTACAATGTCCTACTGTATAGAAACAGACACGAAATCTTACGAAGGGCTAAAGTAACAGTCTCATAATACTATAGTAAATCTCCATCCCTCTAACTAAGCTTAACATGCATTGATCCGAATTCACGCACTGAAAAAGTCTAGGGGAAGTAGAATTGAAGAGTATATTAAACATTTCATTAATTTACAAAAGAAAATCCCGATGAAGAGTATTAACGTTAGTTTGTCCGGATGATATTTCCGCTGGTTTCATATTCGACAACTTCCGTATACCTGAAAAAAATAAAGCACATGTAAGGACTAGCACAACATGAAGTTATGAAAGATAATTCTACATATTAGCACACACTGAATACACTGATTCGGTTAATACTAAGTAATATCTCATGCGAATAAATGTATATGTAGTTTTCAGCTGGTTTTTATATTGGCACTGTAAGCATCAATAGACCTCAAATGTTTTCCAGTATTAAAGGATTACACGCAAATATCAAGACAATCTTTGAAGCTTCCATACTGTTGAGGCGTCATACTATCATTAACCTTAGTTGCAGATCAACTTCACACTGAATACGTTTACATTAAATGAAGTATTGCAAATGTGTAACTTAGAAATTGATCCATAATCTCAGTAATGTCTAATGAGCATAGTTTTATGAATCCTACAGAAATTACATTCTCATATTTAGGAATCTATAGCCATCAAATATAAGCTGAACATGCTTCAACTCTAAGCAACTATGCACAGTGTTAGCAGCATAGAGAAACACTTAAAATATTGTAAGATACGCAGACCTGTTGCGTCGATGAGGATAACAATGACATATAATGCAACCTAGACATTCGATAGTGACACTGCATCTGTACTGCTTCATGTTAATGGAAAATTCAGGAAAAATTCATCACCACTACTGGTGATCAAAAACAGTGCAGCATTAAGTTTACAGTGCCAGTGAGAATGGCATAACAGACAGTAGATTGATAGTAATAGAGCTGACTAGATTCAGTTCTCATAATCGACACAATCCATGTGTATAATGATACTATACACTGAATTAATGCCCTAAGCGACACAGTAAGGAATTTAAACGAGTGATTGCCTTCTCCACGGCACTGCACTTGCAATAATCATGACAACCACCTACGTTTGCTAGCCAAGCAGTCAGCTAAGTAGACAATGGCACAATATAAATAAAGTTGAGGTATTTTTTATACATTGAGTCCACATAACTCATATTACACTACACTAAACAGTGCAAATATACATGAGATCCACTCAGAAATAACCTCTCAACTTACGATAATTCCTGTCCAAACACACACGTTGAGACACATCTACATGATTACTTCTATTCTCACAGAAGGTTCTGTTAGCATTTACAGGTGATTTCGCAGTACTGATAGAATTCTTTTGTCAAAAAGGACTGTTCTTCACACGAAAATAGGCTGAATTAATATCCTGAGACGTGAAGTCTCCATTGAATGATACCATGACGAAAGGTGCAGCATCTAAATAAAGTAGATTATTTGTGTAGATGAAATTACCCTTCAACTATCCTATCTTTCTCACTATAGCGATATTTTGCTACAGTTCACCTGAAACACTGATCGTTGCAACCAATATGCTAGGGGGTGTCGCAGTCAGATTACATGACGCGGACACCAAAATAACAGGCCAGAAAATGGGAATTCTCATCAATCCAGATAACATATAACGCAATTTCATTAAAAATTATTGACAAAAAAAAATTTCCAAGGGAAATTTTAACAGCGCTACTAGAACATGGCATTTAACGTCTACCGCCAATGTTTAGGGATTGTGAAAGATGACTGCCAGCCATCTTTAATTCGAATTTCTCTAATGCTTTGGATAAGTGCCCCATGCTGTTTCACCAGATAACTTCGTCAGCTCGAACTTATTTTCGGTGTCTGGAAGGCAACCGCCAGAAAACCTTGAACCTTAATTTTTCACTTTTTATTTGTCAGTTTCAGGTCTACTGAGGGTCGTCAGCACTCTCAAACACTGTGCAGTCTTGGCTGGTAAGATTCACTCAGAACTGAAATGATTTTGTCGGCTCACAACTAATCAGTAATTTTCTCCGTCCTTGACTAGTTGAGTATGTTTTTAGTCATAGCATCTTTCATTTCAGAACTGGTCTGTGTGGCTTCGAGTCTTTGAGTGCGCCGGTTCTTTCAAGACTACAAATGAATCTTTCTCATAGAGGCTACCAAACACTAAAGTTAGGTCACGGATTTTTGTTGGCTGCCTGTGTGAAAAGGTATCAATACAGAGATCATATGAGAAACTTTTGGTCAGTTAATTTTCAGCAACCCTGTTCTTCATAAATTTTGTGTGAAACCTCAAGCAGCCAGTGTAACTTCGATGGGCCTGTGGTTCCAAATGATTGTTTAACCACCAGACGCATTATGAAGGATTGTGAATTTTGTTTATCATCTATTCGGATGGCCCCTTGTGACCCTGACAACAATATGGATAGCTGATTCACTGACTAAAAGTTTTAACTAATGGTGACCGTCCACCACGCCCTTCTGAATGTTACGTGGCTTTCAGTGGATTCGTTTCTGATTTTCTTCTCGGGATATAAGCTAGTACTACGGACCCCTAGTGAGAGTAGGATCCGTTTGGAGTACTAGTGTATGGTAAAGAACAGCTAAATAAATACAACATAAAGCCAGCAAACATATTTTCCATCCCTATCCACCTAAAACCAGTGAAATGAAAAATGATTTCAGGATGCAGATGGAAGAGCAGAAAAAAGTGAACTAATAATGAAACATTGAGATCACTATAATAGAATCTGAAGATTGATGAGACGTTTACTTTTTGTTCAAAGTCCAGCATCAAAAGAAAGACCTGGATAAATACTGTCTGATTAGGTCATCAATAATATGACCATATGTATTCACACAATAAAGAACATGAAGGACGGCAATTTAAACTCGTCATTTTTTGCAAACCTAGCAAAAAACTATACAATGCAATTCCAGTCTACGATGGTAGCCTGGATATATTTGCAAGTTCACAGGCTTCATATGGACACATTGCATAAATAATAATCTCAGTACCAATAAATAACCTTCATATGCGTGTACAGTTGTTTTCATGCACATGCAGTTAGAATTGTTTCCAGGCACTAAAGTTATTGCAGGAAACTAATCTAGTTTCCTAACACTCATTCTTGAGAGCATGGAAGTGTGCGAATGTAGTGGGGAATCCACATCTAACACTAGGTATTCATTTTTCAGTAGATAAAGAAAGTCGTGCACCTAATGAAGAAGATTTAATCCCTTCTTGTTGACCCATCTCATTTCATCTGCTACAGCATCTCTTGGGATATTATACAATGCCCGGTCTGATGGGGTTCCACCCATACTGTTGAAAAGGGGTGGTTAGGACATACCTGTTATCCTTTTAAAGCTTTTCAGTCTATCCCACAGTAATGGCAGTTCTGGAAACTGTCGTTAAGACACTTCTGCACAGTTTGGGGCCAACTCCGACTCATGAATATCAAATCGTGGTTTCCAGGTTTGTGGAAACTGTCAAGGATCGAGATAGTGTTTCAAATCTCCGCGATAACAAAGTGTTAACTACAGCACAATACGGCTCCTTAGAAAGATGATCATGCTTCACCTGCTTATTTGACCACTTTGGTGACGTCGCTGCAGAGTATGATCGTGTTTCACTCGTCACAACTCTCTACTTCGACTTCAGAAATGTCCTCGATTGAGTCCAGCAAAAAGGACTCATTCTTAAGCTAAATATGTGGGGGTTGCAAGACCTGGATTATCCTAGCTCAGTAACTTCTTGGTAGACCATTGAAAACTTGGGAAATTCTCATAAAATAAGTCGCCATGTAGACCCAGAAGAAGAAGATTCAGCGTGTCACGATAGAACCATTCTTTTACTTTAATAATTCTCAAACGATGACAACATACAATTCAAAACTCAGGGCTCTCACGATCTGCGTAAAAAACTTGCACAGTGACGGTAAGGGCCTTTAGATTATCACTCCGCGAAGACCCCATGTATTCTAAAATATGGAGCAGTCTTTCCCTAGAAATCAGAACCTGGACCTCGTTTGTATGCTTCAGACACTCTGTTTACAGACTGTTTCCACTGGTCACACTAACAAAGTACTTATTTCTACAACGAACCAAATATTAAGTCAATTTAACGTTCAATAAAGCGTAAAACTTTACTATTTACTTTGCATCAACGATATCGAGACTGGTCGCATAGATAGATAAAAAGACCAAGGGAATTTCAATACATATGTTTCCTAGACTGCAATGTAGAACAAATATACACATGTATATATATTGATATCAAAGTTCTGTTTGTGTCCACACGCTCTTCTGTTTCCGGCAATGTGCTGCTTGCCTATAATCTTCACATTGCATCGCGCTCTGAAACTACAAAATCGCCAACGGAACCTTCAGGAAGGCACTCTACCGCATCAAAATACGCCCATTGTTGCAGTGGTGTAAATTTCCCACTACAAGCCTTCATGACTTCTTGGGCCGCAAAACTACCTATGACAGACTATCAAAGTTAGTTAATTAGAACAAATAAGTCACCTGGATAGGAGAACATTGACCCGAAGACACACATGCAAAACGTGTGGCTAGTTTTTCGTCAACAACCGGAACTGCAGCTTCTGAGCCTTTTAGTTCTTCATTCACTTTGTGAACATAGCCAACGAATGCGTGCGCATCTTCTTTACACCATGGTTTAGGGAGAGACCCAGTGTGATCCCTGTATTTGCTCAGGGCTTTGAAAAACAGATGAAGTTGTGCGGGACGTTCAGTCTTGATAAAATCCGTTGTCATAAAGACTGGAGAACGATAGGCGGTCCTGTAGGGTTGCTATAGAAATAAGAGCAGTAATGTGTAAAGAACTTACGAAACTGATTTTCATTGGCATTTTAACAAGTGTACAGACACCACCAGATATATAAGGACTCAAGTTAGAAGTATCACCAATGGAAAAGGCATCAGGTCCTGAGAAAATAGTACATACAGAAACGCTACTTACCAACTACTGTAATTTTCCGAGGCTCACAACCATTTAGTTCAACCATACCTTTCACTTCAGAAAAAGTTACATAATTTCCGTCTTGAAATCCATGACGCGTTTCTTCTAAGCAAGTTACAAGCCCTTTTTTGCTCTACGGAATAAATACAAGGAAGAATCTTACTTGTTCGATTTGCTGAATCATTGTCGAGGGCGGATCCTCGCCTGTTGGGTCATAAACAACAAACTCTGCTCCAAAATCACAGAATATTTTTCCAAAGAGTCCGCAGGTTGAGGCAACTATATATTTGATTCCTAAACTGCGACAAATATCTCCGTACTCCGCGCACAAGTCATCTGACGCCTGAGTAAATACCACCACATTGTATTTCTTTAGATCATCCGATCCAAGTTTCGACTTGTTTAGGACGTGAATAGACACATGATTATTTAATTCGCCTAGCTTATTTTTGCAAACTTCAGCACGAGGATGTCCAATATCATCCTGACTTGCAAAATAGTGAGAAGAAAGATCACTTAGGCACACAGGGGTATTGTCACATAGGGTGACAGACTTAACTCCAGCAAGAGTGATATTTTTTGCTATTTCGAGCCCAAGGCCTTCTAGGCCAATAACCAGAATGTCAGTAGTTGCCATCCGACGCATCCCTTCAGTGCCGTAAACATAAAGCTGACGACTATATAGACTTTCGTCTAAATCAGGAACTTCTCCATTAGCTTCCATCCCCTAAAGAAATGGAGAGTGAGTATTTTGATTCTTATATGACATACGTTTGATAAATTAATGTCGGTACTTGTGTGAAAATTATTATTGTTGTTGTTTTCTACAGCGGACAGTATTTTTTGTCGTTTGGATGGAGGAGTTGGAGACATCTAAGCACCAGAAATGTCATTCAAGCCTCACAAGACTTAGGACACCGGTTCAAATAGCGAGACATCCAAGTTTAGTCAAACACAGTGTATGCACGTATGAATAATACCCAAACAGAATACGAAGTAAAGTGATACAAAATGATGAATGCCTAATGCATTTATTTATTTATTCTAACTCCACAAAAAATATAACTCAATGTAAATTTGATTGGACATTGATAGGTGACTTGAAATTTAGAAACAGCTGAAGGATAACCTATACATGCCTACAATGCAAACAGAGTTCAGTAATCTGTTAGGATGTCCAAATAAATGAATCCTTTTTTATCTTTGTAGAAAAGTGGGTAATCGAGCATCCGGCACTCAAGACTAAGCACACACGATACTGGGGAACACCACTTCTCTAGACTGAGACCTACACTGATCTAAGTGTTACAGTGAGTCGCTGTTATCTTACAGTTGCAACTAGTTGCTTCACATTCTCACTGACGGTACGCATGATCAATGCTAGAATAACCAGTGAGAACCCTAGCCAACATAATGCGTTTACGGTGAGGTTAAAACTAAAAGCCACTGTTCATAAAGGGAATCATACATTCTAGGAAGTACTCAAAGTAAGTCCAAATTTATGATTTCTGGTGTGACTAATCTTTCATGCGAGGAACGACTTAATGGTTCATATACCTTATATTATACTGTATACATTCAGAGAACGAATCACAATGTACGAATACTAGGGACTACTTCTATCTTGTGAGTTCATTTTCATCTTATTACAGCACCCTAGACGATGGTGTAGGACATTTTGAGTAGCAAGGAGCAACTAAATAGCATTGGAGTACTGGTTCTCCGACCGAATCATTGGCTCTCAAAGCCGAACTCCATGAGACGTGGTGTCAGGTCACCTGATCTTTTTTACAAACAGCCGACCAAACGAGCACATACTTTAATTAAAATGATTAAAATTGGATGGATACCTTCTACCCTCAGGCGGTGTGTGAATCTCTCTTTTGTGTGAGGAATGAGAAATTTTGTCTCATAACGTTATGAATTTCGGTTGTCAACATTACTTTCTAATCCAGGATTTGTAGCAATGCCACCATAAAATTCCTCTTAAAATCTGACGAATCGACATTGTAGCGGTGGGTATTTCCCCAGAATTATTGGCCAAAGCATTCATCACTGAACATTGGATGCTGACCCTTACTGTTTTAGTCGATTTGTCTAGCTGAAGGCTTCCGGTCAAGCATCCGCGCAACTTGACATGCCGTCGTGTTACGTTCGTTCGTTCGTGCACGATCCCTAGCTGGTTAAGCAATCATCTCACACTCCTATTTGGTCCCGAAATATAACTCGTAATTTGGTTGATCAATTCTGGTGTTTTGCTTTGCCTTTGGTCTACACGGAACGAATACCACAGAATTTGTGGTTATTAGAACTGGCGTTAGTATACTTCGTACTACCCGTGAACATCAGTGCCTTCAGCCTCTAAAACATCGATTGATCTCACACTAACTTAAATAGGAATGTAGCGCTACAACTTATGACCTGAACGGTTTCGTATGTCTTTACAGAAGATTTTTGATGACTGGACTTTCCGACCAGCAGGAGACAGCAACACTATGTGATTCACTGATTTTATAGATAATTCACTCTGGGAATGGTGGACGATGCTACCAATGTTCAATGTTCATAAAATCACTGCCTAATCTGAAGAAAAATATCCCTGTTTCCATCGGGTGGTTGCCGTGTGCTAAAATGAAAAATAATGCGTAACTAATAGTCAATATCCTGCTGTAACTGGCTTTGAAATTCGGATGCGACAGTCATCTAGTTTCTCTTTTCGTAGAAATGCAAGACAACAAGAGAAATAAACAACCATGAAGGCTATCAAAAGATTTGTGTTGATAGCGTACGTAGACAATGAATTAGTAAGTTATGGACCATGGTTTTCAGACTTTTGTGATGTCAAAGCATTAGACCGAAAATACCACCGTTATGAGGGAAAATAACATGGGACCCAGATGGAATCACATTTCATAGCTCTTGAAAGATAGTGTGAAGCAAACAGGAAGTAAGCTTCCCAGAGTTTTGTGCCCGAATTTCCAAACCGGAAGCTTAATCAGAGAATGGTGATTCCGATATGAATAATTACATTATTTTTCCTCATATTACAGCACACTAGGGAAGCCAGCTTACAGGCATCTTCAAACGGTAACAATTAATAAGACCGCATAACACAACCGCAGTTTACATATAGTAGTCTGGATTCCATTTGCAAGTTCAAATATGATATATACACACAGTGCATAATTAATAATCCTCATGCCAGTAGACAACCTTCACTTGCACATTCAAATTTGTTTGTTCGGACCAAAGTTATCATATGTTTGACTATTATTTAAAGTTAACTTTAGAGGGTGTCAAAGGTTATAGCACCTCATTATTAGAAAATATCTATGTTAAGAAACTTTACTATGTTGTCGTGTACGCCTTCATTATTATTATCTGCCAGCGACCGACTAAGATTGTAACAACAGAAGACAAGGGCCAGACAACAGATCGTTTAATAAGGAAAATCAACACATATTTATAGATTTTAATGTACATTATTGTTAGTAGAAAATGCAGTCTTTTGATCGGTTGTTTCTCACAGAAAGCTAACCTTGCATCTCTTTGTGGCTGTGTCAGATCATCCATATGCTAACTGTATCCGTCTACGCAAAGCCTTTGTTCTCATTTTCTCACCACCAATATTAGGGATATAAACTTGACGTCAATTACTGTCTACCAACTTTGGCTAGCAGCCAGCTCTCACCACAAGATGATCAGCAGACGGATGAAAACTCAGATACATATATTTTGTCCACAGTTTGGATTTGGTTAATTCCATTTCAAATGGGATTTGATTACCTTACGATTTTGGAAAATTTCACAAAGGATCGATGTATGTGATCATTTGTGGATTTCTGTCGTCAGTGAATACACACCCAATTTTGAGAGGGCTTAAGATTTTGACTTGTTCTAATGGGAATTGTGGATACGCGTGGTTCAGTGTCATTAGGGATAAAACACCTCCATATTCTTTTCAGAAACGGGGGATAAAAATATGTGGGTTATGGCTTTCCAAACATTTCAGGGGTGCACAGACACTTTTATAATCCTCGACTCTAAAAAGTTTCAAGTTGTGAAACTGGATGATTACAATAGGCCATCACCAGGATCTTTATCATTTCGTACTTTCTCATTTTAAGAATGAGCCAGTGGTGCTGTTCACTTCACTTTTATGTGGTCACCAATTGACACCTCTTTTTTGCCCTCTAGGGTACATGAATGTCCGTCATATGTTAAATATAAACAGGCGCGCCGTAGCACGGAAAGTGACTGGTAAATGCATGAAGTCTGGAAAAATAAATGTTAGCATAGCTTACCAAACGATACCACCCCGTGGGGTGTACGAACCACCACAACGTGGCAGTCACACTGCTTATTGCACCACGAACTAGTGGGAGAGAAATGTGAAGTTTGCTTCTGTCCAGGGAGTGAATTTAGTTAAGAGTTGTAGGAGGGAAGTGTACACTTCTGTTGTCAATGGAGGCATCCGACGCAGTTGCACAGATGAAAGAGAAGTTAGCGAAAGCCACAACCTCATAATATTCTATTCCAGATGCTCCTCTTGAATTATTACGGCAGGCATCACATAAGGCTGCGGGAGCGGCTTTAAACCATCTGGTTGGAGACAACTGGAAACCAACATAATTCTTCTCTAAACGACTTAATCCTTTGCAAATGAGATGTCCTACTTTAAAGAAGAGAGTTACTATCAATCCACCTAGCAATTAAACACCTTCACCCCATGGTCAAGCCATTCACACTCTCCACAAATCACAAGCCTCCACTTCCTCAAGACAAGGGGAAATACTCATCACGAGAAATACATCACACGGAATGGTGATGTAAAACACGTTAAGGGGACGGAGCACTGTGTCGCTCATACACATCCTAGAATCCACGTGGGTACAATCCGGTAAACCGCTACAGACTTCAAATAACTTGCCGAAAATCGAAAGAATGGAGAAAAATTAAGGCGTCTTCCCGCTGCGAATAACTCTAGTATCAAACTTAAACAGTTGCCATCTCCTGAAGATGGCGACTTGGTGTATTATGACATACTGAAAGATTCACCTAGGCCCTTCACCCTCAGAACCATGGAGAAAGCTATTTTGGCAATTTTTCTGGGGCAAAAACTTCAGCTGAAATAATCTCGGCAGCATATTCTTGGCCGAACCTATGTGACGTGTAAGAGTAGGCGAGAGAATGCATGTCATAACATAAATAAATGAATAAATTTATTCTAATAGTACAGTACATGAGGGACGCCAGTTTACAGGCATCATCAAATTGTTACAGAAATAGAACCATATAATTCAATCACAATTTACAGGCGGTGGCAAGATATGCTTTACATGTTCGCTGGAGATTTTACAGACACTTGATAAATGTTAATCCCAGTAGTATAAAACAGCCTTTTCACTTATATACAATCATTTCCGCGCAAAGTTGGAAAAATCTGCTAGATTGTCAGTGAGTGCAACACAACAGGAAATACAGGAGTATTGTCTTCGCATTAACAAAAAAACCAGGTCTTTGGTGGATGGATTATAAGTGCCTGGGAAAAAAATAAAGCTTGAAGTAAATATTCATACATAACTTTGTTGTGTGCAGAGTCCTCGAATTATAGTTCATTGATGTGTTAATTTGAAATCAGTGATGTGTTTATCTCATTTGATCTTCAATGTCATTGTTGGGAGTAAGTACATAAGCTTCGGATGCATTAATTAATGGATTTTTACTGCTTGTGGGTATTTTCTTAGCGTGAGGAAGGTTTATGAAATTCAGCTGTTCCGACAGGAGTTGAGAATATTAACTGCTCAGCAACATTATGGATATAAGTTCATCACATTATCTAAGGAAAGGTGGGTTGCAGTTGGTGAGGGATA